CCGCCCTTATTTAGCGTCCGGGTGTGCGGCCGTCTAGCTTGGTTTCAGGAGTTGACCCCCCCACCCCCCACCCCCCACTTCAGGCGGCGGCCTGCGCCGAGGCGGGTGCCACCCTCATCTCCCCCTTCGTCGGACGCATCCTGGACTACCACAAGAAGAAGACCGGGAACTCGTACCCGGACGCGTGGCAGGACCCGGGCTGCATCAGCGTGTCGGAGATCTACGGGTACTACAAGAAGCACGGCTACGGCACGATCGTCATGGGGGCCAGCTTCCGGAGCAAGGACGAGGTGCTGCAGCTGGCGGGCTGCGACCGGCTCACCATCGCTCCCAAGTTCCTCGCGGTAAGACGCGGGCAATAGTTTTTTTGTTTTTTTTTTGCGCCGTGCGTTGTCCGGGAAGGCTACGGTAATTGCGTACTTATAAAGACTCCGGACATTTTTTTTCTTCGGTGGAAGGAAATCACATTTGCCATTTAGAACTTGTATTGTGATGCGATGCGTAGCATCTTTACGTTCTTAAACCCATCGATGTCTATGACGATTCGTTTTCGTACCTTTGCCTGAATCCATACGAAGCCTGGGCATAGACCACCCTCAACTGCGGGGGTTGTTTTGGACGGCTCCTGTTGAACGTGTGCACGTGTGCCGCCACGAAACGGCGTCGGTCTCGCCGACCCTTGCACACCCCAGTTCTTCGATCGCCTCCCAAGAACCTTCCTTCTGCACCGACCATTGAATGGGCCGCAATGGTTGTCATTCACGGAAGGAAACACGTTGTGTATGCTCTCGACATTGCAGCAACCCCCTCCTGCGCTGCCGCCGCCGTTTGTTCGGTCTCACGTGCGTTGTGCTTCAGGAGCTGCAAGAGAGCAACGGCGAGGTGGTGCAGCACCTCGAGGCTTCGGCTTCAGCCGCGGCGTGCACGCTTGACAAGGTATGCAACCTTATCTCCTCCCATAAATCGCATCTGACTGTAGGACAGTGTATCATGCCTACCCTACATGCGTGCTCATGGCAGTAACAACTATATTGCTCGTCATGGCCAGCAAAGGTGTTGAGCAGTCAGCCCCTCCCCCTCCGATCACTTGCCGGTTGTAACGTCAGCACCTAGAAGCAGCACTACTCTCTGTCGATGCCATTTTTTTTCATAAAACCGTTTCATATCTTTGGCCAACTATTCCCCGACATTGTTTTCCTCTATAAAGCAGCAGCAGCAGCAGCAGCAGCAGCAGAAGTTGCCCGTCATTGCAGCCCATAGTCGGGTGAGGTTCACCGCCGTCCTGCACCTTGAACGTTACGCCGCCCGATGCAAGGAGCTTACAGATGTAAACCGACAGGCCGTGCCATATATTCTGTAATCGGTTACATGTATTAGCGGTTTCGATGGCGAATATCGGACGATGGTCCCGCCCTTGGTTTGTTTTGCACAACTTCATACTTCATGGTTATTGTGCAGGTCTACTTTTCTTCTCCAGCGGAACTACATCGGCCACGTTTTGAACGTGGTCCCCAGAACGGGGGACTGCAGAGTAGCGGTACTGCTGCACGAGTAAAGGGTGTCCGCGTTCCATTCAAGTGTGCACAGAACAAACAGATTGCAAGACGACGACATTATTGCTGCTCACGCCCGATGATGTAGCGGTCATGTTTTTGTTTTCATTTTTTTCCCTGACAGCTTCGAGTTCGGTTTCGAAGAGCTCGTCCGGCCTGTGACCAGCTTGATCCCAAGCAGATCTAGTACGATACTACCACGAGTCTGCCGGCAAACTACAATCCACTACCACACCGTAACATTTTCAGACCTCATGATTCCGGTATTCCTGGTCCTGCTGCGTTGTCGGTGGGGGGTACAGCAGTTTCACAAAATTCATGTGGAGCTGTACGTACCAGGGAAGCTGTTCGGGGATAATATATCGCCATGTCCCAAATCAATCGACAGATAAGACAGACAGACAGACAGGCAGACAGGCAGAGAAGGCCCCCCTTCGGCAACACGAGGAAACGTATCAAAACGAGGCCCTCCGGGTCGGGGGTTAGGTCAAACGATCCCCAGTCGGAAGATGCCAGCAAAACCAAGTAGAACACCAACGTCCTGTGTTTTTGCTGTTGCTGGGAGCTCAAGGCAGAAGGGTGGTAATAGGCGCTAACGTTCGATCCGTGTAACGGCTGCTGAAAGCTGTCACTGCTGCAGCGCTGCAGCCAGTCCGTTCACGATGTTGCTGCTGGCCCCACTGCTGCTGGGCTGCAAACATATATTCACTCCTAGGAGCCAACGTAGATCAACACCGCATCATCACCAGCACCTCAACTGTGGCGCCTGTAGTGTCAATAAGGTGCTGCCGCTGTTGATGGTTGCTTAGCACAAGTTTCACCACTGGGTTAAATGCTGTCTTGCTGTCTTGTCTCTTTGCGATGGTGTTTATGGCGTGCATACCTGTGTAGCCTACCTTCGAAGACCGAAATCAGAATTCAGATGTCCAACTCTTTAGAGTGAATCGTGCGGGCACGCCGATCAACCTCTTTTCGGCATGAGTGCAACCGTCTGAACGCGCTACTTACCCTTGGTAGGTCTAGGCCCCATCACGCTTGGCTCCCCCTGCTCATACGCTCATCTCCCCCCGCCCTCCCCATCCCCCCACCTCGAAACTGAACCCTTCTGAACCCTTCTGAAACCAACACCTGCTACTACTTACGTCAGCTGCCGTCCAGCGAATCGGCGTTCCGCCTGGCGATGAACGACGACCCCATGGCCACCTCTAAGCTGGCCGAGGGGATCCGCGGCTTCTCCGCCGACCTGGTCAAGCTGGAGGCCACCGTCCGCGACCGCCTCGGCGTCACCCCATCCCCGACTCCCGGCCCGGCCTGGGCCCCGCCTGCCGCCGCCGCCGCGGCGGCCAACGGAGACGGCGTAACTAACGGTAACGGTAACGGTGGCGGTGGCGATAAGACGGAGTTCGACCAGCTGGCGGAGGTGACGACGATCGTGGCGGACTCGGGAGAGATCGAGGCAATCCGCAAGTACAAGCCCACGGATGCCACGACCAACCCGTCCCTCATCTACGCGGCGGCGCAGATGCCGGCGTACCAGGGCTTCGTGGACGACGCCGTGAAGCACGCGCTCGGCCTCCAAGGTGTGTAGGGGGGGTACCTGGTCGGATGGTTGGCGAGGCCGAATGAATGATGCTTTGCTGTGTTGGGTGTTTTCTTCGCTTATCGAATTTTATTTGGTTGGCGATTATTTTTCCTTTGCTCTGTGGTAGATGCGTGTCGAAGCACCCGGTTGGGTAGAGGGGGTGACGTAGCATGTAATGCTGATTTTTTGTGCGGAAGGAAGAAGAAAACGGTCGATCCCAACCTTTGCCAGAGGAAACCGAAAGTTAGGCTGATAACGAAACACAACCTATTCCGCCGCATCGCAGGCTCGCCGAAGGAGCGAGTGGAGGCGGCCATGGACAAGCTGTCTGTGAACTTCGGGCTGGAGATCCTCAAGATCGTCCCTGGGTACGTTTCCACGGAGGTTGACGCTAGGCTCAGCTACGACACGGAGGCTACGGTGGCTAAGGGCAGGAGCATCGTGGCGCTCTACAAGGCCGCCGGTGAGTGAAACCGAGGGGGGTCCGTCTGTGGTGGTGTTGCCAAGGTGCTCAAGAGAGCTCTAGGGACGGATGAGGGGTTGGTTGTACTTGGGCGTGAACTCGTCACGAGGGTAGTTTGGTGAACAAGCGCTTGGTGAGTTACGGTGGTTGGCTCGTGTGCGTACAGACTGCAGTATGCTCCTTTTCGCTGGCGAGTATGTTGGCCACCATCACCTGTTCGACGAACGCTTCGCTTGTGTACAAGCATGCATCACTCGCGGAAAATCTTGTGCAGCTCTGTGTGACCTTCCTTCCTTCCGCGCGACCGCGGCTAGTGATACTTCAAACGTACAATATACCCCAAAAGTTGTGCAGATGACTGGCGC